AGTCGTTATGGTAAATCGAATGCTTTTACATTGTGTATACTGTTATCAAGAATGGTGCCAACCTTATTAAATGTCACGCATCACCTAGTAAATTACTTTGAATATCATTTTTTTCAATCACCTATGAGAGCTTTTTTGTGGTAGTGCATGAAAACTTTAGTTTTTCTATCATCAGATTGATGGCTTGAATAAGTTAGTGAAAGCCTATTATCAACACAAGGATTCAAATGGAATTTCAATTTTAATACAAGCTGAAAACAAATTGTGTTTTCATACAAAATAAAAGGGAAAAATCAATTAAATAATTGCATTTAAGAAATGTACAATAGGTGAGTGACAAAAATCCTTTCTGCCTCCTTAGTGATCGAAATAACAATGAAAACTAATAAATTTGTAGTCATATTCAGTTTCTATTTTCGTCAAATGCATTTTTCATAACGTATATTTCCAGGAAGATGAAACAACAACGTTAGTTGTTGAATTTTATTTCATTTCTCATCAAATGTGTAATTCTAATTAACTCTACTTAAAAATCAAATCGAGTCATAAAATGAGTGTTGTAAAATATTTTATAGCATTGTCAATATACGTGTGAATCAGTGTACTTTTCACATAATTTAGTTTCGCTATGTTTTTTTAATTAAATTACTATTAATCCGTTAATGATCTTATTGCAAGGTTCATAATAAGTTACAACCGTCTTTCATTATCTCTAGAACATTAAACTGGAACAGTGTTTTTGTATTTCAATATTAAAAATGTACTTGAACAAGATATTGAGAAGTATATCATTTCGGTTGATTTTGTACAAAAAAAGAATGAGAGCTATACATCCTGAACCGGTTTATTAACCTGATAACTTTGTTCGTGTTTTCGTTTTGTGTATCTCTTTTCATTTCTCTCTGATATTCATTGAATCAATGTTGAAACAGAAAGCATGTTAATTGAAGCGGTAATTATTGTCAGCTGACAATTTTCAAATAAATGATCATGTTTTCTTCTCTGACAAGAATCGTCGATAAAGAAACAAACAACGTTGTTTGAACGCACTCAGAATGTTTCTGTATTTCATATCTTTTATTATATCACCCGAAAAATCATTCACAATTACTAGCTAAGACCGGATAATTCTCAAATCAAACAACAAACGATGATATAAACAGTAGGGTACAAAACACACTTAGTTTAAAAAAAAAAGATAATAATATATGCCCAAACATTAATTGGCTACATAGTTGAGCTTCCGTTGAATTGAAGGGATAGATATTATATTGCACTTGCGTCATACATTCGTTTTAGGTGTGGCGAGATGTGCAAACATATTTAATATGGAATTGTGATTGAAAGGCTTTCAAGTTTGAAAAGGGAAAAAAGCAACTGGAATTATCGGCAGTATGACAAAGCTCATCGTCATCGAAATGGAAGAAATTGTGTCCGATTGATTAATTATATTATTCTTTTATTCGGAGAATTTTCTTTTTTTTTCAACTAATTGGAAATAGTCACGTTAACTCTTCATACAGTTCTGGAAACATTAATTCGAAGTGAGAAATCATTTTATGCAACTCAATAAATGTTTGGTATGCGACCAAGCCTCAGGACACAATAGAACACATTAATTAGGTACATATCAAAGGAAACTTCTTAGTCATTCATTATGGTTTTGGCGTTATTTTTGCGACATTATATCAAATAAGTCTATGTTTGGCATGTATTTGTTCGAGAATGTATATTGTTTTTCAACAGATTGTGAAAGAAAAATTGCATAATTCAAGACGAAGCCCGACAAATATAATTTAATGTTTTAAAAAATGTGAGTTGTTCGCTTTGAACAAATAAATTGTTCTCACTCTATGCGGTCACCACATTTTCTTTCGAAAAAGAAATTATATGAATCACATGAAATGGCATGCAATTGAATGTTACAATTTTCACGTTTCAATAATATAATCAACTATTATTAATACATGAATGCATAAATTAGTTTGCTTTTCTTCTGTCAAACGTTGAATGATAAGAGAGAAGCAAATTTTTCTGAGCTTTTCAATGTGCACAAAGGTTTTTTCTTCTTTTGCCCATTATCTTGATATCATTTGCGTTCTGCACGGCGTTCTACGCTATTAAATTTCCATAAAATGTTCAAGTACCAAAGCTCTTTTGGTATAATTTTACCTCAAAATATAAAGCTCACATCATTCGCATTTGCGGTTGATTCAATTTAAACTGGGTGACTAATTATAATCCATGAGTTCTGCGAATGAGGGTGAAATTAAAACTCAAATTGATTAGATAACGCCATTGAAATAGCATCTTAATGATAAGTAATTCGCATTCGTCGAAGACATACATCTTTTTTGTCTGTGTTTTTATCACAAGACACTTTGAATTTCTACTGAATTACTTATTATTGAAGTTAAATCCACAGCACGGAGGATTGTTCGTCAACAAAAATTGTTGTTTTATTTGCGACGCAACCATTTCCCCCCATTCGCCGTATGTCCAAAACTGATTTTATCATTGATCAAATATGTGTCTTTTCAGGAAGTGTGTTTGTTGAGTCGCTTGAAAATTGGTGATAATTAGCTTTTAAATTAACTGAAAAATCAACAGTTTATCACAAAAGTCTCGTGACGAATGGCGTCACATTCGTTTGACACACAACAAAATATCAAAGCTATGTGTCGCATTTCATGTGGAATTTTCTTTCAATCATATACTTTGATTCGTTTGTCAACCCTTGAAATGAATCCAAATGACTGGGCTGAACTCAATTATTTTTCGGTCCATTGAGTATACTGCAAGAATTACGTACATCCGCTTATCCGAATCGACGAAAATTTCTTCTTACAATTCAATACATATAATGAAAACCGCGCGCCGCTTATCATATTATGTATTTAGTGGTCTGGAACTGAATTTCGTCTAATGCTTTGATGACTTTACGTGATTCGTTATCATTTGCGATTTGTTTTTTCTCTCCCCAAAATTGATCGAACGCGACAAATTGATTGATGCTTCAAATATTAACATCATAAATCGATTAGATTACACGACGAAATTTTATCCCAAATTATTTTGACATTATTGCTTGATTGAAGATCATGCATTTAATTGCTTGGCCATTATAGATTAAAAAGGATGATTTTTTGGTGTCAACAACATGACACGGACACTTTTAGCCACAATAATGAAATAAAGATTAACCATTGACCAAAGAAAACCAATTATTTTCATAATATATGAATGAAACCGGAGTTGGAAACGTGATAAAATGACAAATCAAACGTAATTACTGTTCGATACTTTGATATAATTGCTCAGTGATTTTATCTAATTTTCGATGATTTTTTCATCATATTCTGATTACTAATGGCAAGGGCCAATAAAATAAAATACGTTTTATGTCGAAAATGTGCACTTGTCATATGTATTTATAGAAGTCATTAGAGTGACCCGATGACTTTAGAAATGTCATTTTACTAAAGGACTATTTTGCCGTGTATGTAATTTTTTTTCGGTAATCCGGAAAGCAAAATTCCGATTAAAGTTCGTATTGCCATTTTGTGGTTTTAATTTTTGCAATCGGCAGTGCCAACAATAATAAAAATTCAATTTTATCACCACATTATGGGTAATTCGCGATTGATTGATTTCTCGAGACGTTGTGATATATAAACAACGCGGTGTTTAGTTTACCAGCACAAGTGACGCAAACTCATTTTGATGCGATTTTATTGGAAAATAATCTCTAAATATAAATCTGTTTGAAAGCAAATCTGGAGTGTGGTGTTGAAAAGAGCGTCAATAGTATTAAACTATTACTACCGTATACATCGATGTCAATCAACAGTTTTCTATATGCCATGGGGCTATTTCTGTTCGATTTCGAGACTTTTCAAGTTTTCATAGCCCATTTTATATGCATTTTTTTTTTTTGCAAAAAGAGGCGCAATTTCAAACTTGTGACTTTGCCGTTGGCTTCATGTATTATCATTAACATCTTCAATTTATATTTCACAATGTGCAAAACAATAACGTAATATCGTTAAAATCGATTTTGGATGGCAGAACAAACGATTTTTGTGTATTACAAATGTATTTTTTGACATTATAATTTGTTTTATTTATCTGTGAACATTAACTTTTATCCATAAAATGGCAAACTAATACATTTTTACAATTGTTTTTTATTTATTTAGAAACTATATTGAGAAGTCTATTTATTTCGTAAAAAGACCACACACCGAAAGGTATAATCCGTCTATAGACTGATTGTTGTTGTTGTTGAGAAGACTTAAAATTTCGTTACTTTTATATGGAATTCTATTTTTTTGGTCAATGTCAAAAGAACGAAATTTTTGGATGGAATATTATTATTTCAAACAAAATCTTGAATGATCATGTATTTTTCCGTAATTAATTAGTTTTCTTCTTCTTCACTATTTTCGGATGTATTCAAAATATTATCCTGATTTTGAAGATGACAAATGAAAGGTATACGTTTTAAAATGTAAAAAAAGTTACAAAAACAAATCTATTAATAAAGTGAGTTTGAAAGAAGAGGTGGTGATTTACAAATGATACACCCAAACATTTTAAAAAGATGCAAGATGAAGACTTTGACTTTCTAAAAAAAATACATGGAACAATCATTTACAACAGTTTGCTTAAACTCAAACTCGTGGACTTGAACAAATTATAGACATTTGTTTATACTAAAAAGATATCAAGTTTGTGTGTTAATCGTAGACGGTTGAATTGGTAAACAATTATATGTCAAAATAGAAATCCATCCAATTTGTATGCGTTGCACCGTTTGCAAAATTTCGTTATAAACCAATGAAATTTTTAACCAAAAAAAAAAATGCAAAAAACATACTCTTTCTTTCAATGTCAAATGTATTTATAATAAATAAAAAAACAAACTGATTTTGAAATCAGTGTTCTGGCGTACAAAATGAATGACAAAAAAAAATTGTATAAAATGTGATTACACTTACCGTTGTGAGAGTGATAGCCCCAGTGAGTAGACATTGCAAACGAGGTTGGTTACCGTTTGAATAAGAAATATAGCAAAACAGATAATGTGCAATCACCGAAAACCACACACAGTTAGATTGATTATTGCTTTGCGGAATTCAAATGTATTTCTTTCCAAAAAGTTATTTTTTTTACACAGTGCACTTAAGAGTCGTTTTTTTCCCTTTACAGATAATGTATGACTGAATAGCCGAATCAAAAAAAATATTTGGTTATTTTTTATGTTGATTGTGTTCTTTTTTCGTTTCAATATTGAAATGATAATAAAATTCAATTGAGCCGACTGTTTAATTTCGTGAATGTTTATTTAATTTCTTTGTTTCCAAAATGTAAATTAAAAAAAGAAATAAAAAAATGTGCTCGAACGATGTTGTCAACCGTCTGAGTTGTCGGAAACTTTTTAGTAAACTGATCGTGGTTCAGCTAGCATACTGTAATGTTATACTGCTGATATAAAATCGAGACTACTACATGCCAACATGAATGCGTATAGAAGCAATGAAGCCATACGAGAACGCACACAGACGACAAACCATTTATAAAATGCTTCTCTTTCTCGCCTTTACTTTCTCTACCATTTTCTTGACTATTTCTTTTTCGCTGTTGAACGAACTTGTCCATTTGCTTTAGAATGTGTTCTGTTTACGTTTTTTTTTTCTCGAATAGGCATGTTCGGCTCGTGCTCGGCTTAGCACACTCTACCGTCGTCGTCTTCCATAAAAAAAAATACGAACGACTGCTAACGCACAACAACATACACTGAAACATGGACACACATACAAGGCGCACTTTGATGCCTATGCTTTGTTTAATCAACTGAAAATGTGTATATTCGTTTATCGGTGGTGTGGCTGTATTGAGCTGAGATATAATATGAAAATAATTATGCCACACAGTACAAATTATCCATAATAGAACACTACCACTATGATACGGTGTGTGTTTTTTCTTCGAATTTCAAATCGTACAAGGGACTGTTGAGCATCGCAGGAGAACGCTTTCTATTCAATTACGTTTACATTATTCACTTTGACACACCATATATGTCATATTGTTTATGATATTTACATCTGGTTTTATTGAAAATTCAATAGACGACTACGTATGCAGTACGTTTTTGCGAAACCAATAATGGTGAAATTCACACTGCAAAAACAAAAACAATCGAATCACAGTCCAAATCGGTAGGCAAACCAAAAATTCGATCAATTACAATTGAAATGATGGATGAATGGACAATAGTAAATAACTCATATGGGCGAAAGTGCAAAAAAACGTGTATTAAATGTCATTGAACCTATCTTTACTTGAGCACTAAACATGCGAATACTCGTGAAGAAGAGAAAAAACGTTATTGGTCGATTGAATATACTTCATATTATATGAATGGATGATAAAACTAATAAAAAAACTAAAATAAACGACATCATACTTGGTGTAATTTCCGTACAAAATTGCCTGTAAATAGACTTTATTTCGAAGTTCGCCGGCAATTATGCAAAACTCGATTTTATAATTCGTTTTAAAAAGTTTGCACTCAACATGAACCTTCAATGATGCACATGAACTCACCAATAGCACTCACTGCTACATCTCCGCAAATAACTGCTCATAAGGAGCAAAAGGGATTATGAATCATCGACATTCTGGGGATTGGCATCAATGAGCGTATCAAATGGATTTTTTTAAACTTTTTAACGTAAGTAAATTTGCATGTTTTTTTTTGACGTCTTGCCATTGTTCTTGAGTCATCTTTTCATGCATAAACATGAATACACAAGTGGCAGAGTTTCAACGATGTTCGTTTTTGGTTCATGTAACTTTGTTTATTATTAGAAATATCCTCTCTCATGTACAGACAGTTGAAACCGGCTATTTTTATGAGTGATGCGCGAAATTGTCGTGATATTGATATGGACAAAACAAGCAAAGCTGTTGAAAAGACGAGTGGAAAAGAAAAATGATCATTGAGCAAACATTACGCTATTTGTGCTTCTGTTCTATGCGTGGCGAACGAAACCCACTGAACGAATGTGTGTACAATATGTTTTTCATGAATATATGCGTGGAAAGTAAACAAAGAAACCTATAACTAAACCGAACTCGTGTGCACCATATATCTCTTTCGATCGGTAAGTCAGTTATGGATCGCGCTTATATTACGGATCATGCGACAGCCGGCGAAACGCACTCAATAGCGTGCCTCGTGAAACGTATGAGAACTGTATGGCCGGAACAAGAGAAATGAAAAGAAACAAAAGCAAAACACAAACAAACCAAATAAAAGTTCCATTTTTACTCTCTTGTACATTGAGGCAGAATTAAGCGACAGTTCAAGTTTAAACGCCAATGCATTCGGTCACATTTTGATGGTATTGTGTGATCACTTGCATTCGGATTTTTAAAAACAACAATGTTGTACACTCATTCTTTATTTTGAAGTATAATATACAGTAATATTTTCATTTCATTTACTGTTGATTTTATTTATTTCTTAAATTTTCGTTTAGAGTTTTAAAAACATATTTCAAACAATAAAATTGTGTACACAAATGAAATGAAATAAAACGTGTATCTTAAAAGATTTTTTTTTCAATTCATAAAGACCAATAACCATCAGTGTTTAGAGTTAACGTAAATGTGAACATTTTTATTATTTTCAACAGCCAAATAAAATGAAAAACCACAAAGGGAATACTTGTACTATGTAAACAAATAACGAACACAGAAAAATGCACCATAAACTTATGTTTTGCAAATAAATACCATACAAATTCGACAAATTACCGTGAACACACGAACGAGAGAGAGATAGAGAGAGAGAGAGTGACGAAAAGGCATCAGTAATGCTGGATACTATATGAAAGAGCAGCGACCGACCATCAAAATAGTGTTGCTGATATGCGAACTGGTTAATTGAGCAGTGTGCATACAACGATCTTTGTTCAGTGACCTTTGGCTTTGATTCCAAAAGCTATATATGTAAAAAGACAGCAAAAATTGATAGGAAATAATTCTTTGCACGCCAGAATGACAGAAAAAGCAAAAGTGAAAATACTTGAAAGTGTTATTTGATATGGGATGATTAGTGCGTATAAAAATAAGGTTTTATCGCGGATTAAAAAAAACGTGGCCTTTAGAACGATAGCATATAAGCACACTTTCAAATATATCTACTACGGTGTATTGCATTGTGTGGGTTTGAACCCATTTCAAATATCCAACAGTGAGTGGATCTACGAAAGTGGAGAAAATGAAAGTGCAGAGAGAGAGATAATCGAATGAGAAAAAGCGTGTACACATTTGCATATCGAATAGAAAAGTAACAACTAGAGAACATGAGTGCAATGCATAGTATGTCGAATAGCTCCATAAATAATGATTCTGGCGGCAAAGTACCGTTCAATTTTTTCGACTCGATTTTCGAATCCATCAAAACAACCGAAGATTTTATGCTATGGATATTCGTTGTAGCTTTGATCGGCTTTGGCATCATTCTGAACATACTTGTGCTTGTATCCATATTGAATATTAAACGCAATGGTAAGTGCTTTCAATATGTTTTTAACATCCAAATATAAGAATAGCGGCATTTGTTGAAGACGAACGCACTTCGAATGAGAATGCATTTTCTTCACACACGAAAAACGAAATCAGATTAAATGTTTTCTCGTGTGACGCAATTATGAAACGATTCAACACTTATGAAACAATTCATGTCGAATTGTTGTTGAAGAATTCGCTTTCTCCAGAGAACCGATCCAATGACATTTTTCAGAATTTTCAAACTTTGACAATGCTGTTCGTTGCATTGAAAAATGAAGAAAGCAGTTAAATGGTGTTATATATGTGACGAAACGATTTATAGTCACACTGCGCTAAAAAGCAATGCGTGTCAGATAATAACAACATGACATGAAGAAACCTAAAAAAAAAAACATACCAACAACTTAACATACAAGTAAAGTAAACAAACAAAACCATTTGCGGCATGCTTTTTCATCAGAATATCCATCCCAAACTTTATCTTCTGCTTATTTCACAATAACCTTTGTCATTACAAGCCTAGTTTCTTCTATTCAATCACAACAAAATCGGATAAACAATTTTGTTCCAGAAATTCAATAAATACAACAAGCTGAAATACAAGCTGAAGCGCGTTTTTCTTTCTCTTCAAAATAAACATAAACAAAAATGTTAAATTTTCACAAAATTGCATCGCTAATCATTTTTCATTATTTACTTTTCAGGAACGCATTATTTACTAGTACAAATAATAATTGTGGATGTGCTATCGTTAAGCCAAGTAAAATGGGAGTTATTTTACGTGAGTCATCGGTCATGGCTCGAATCGATTGAATGGTGCCCAATCTACTTGGGTATGGATGCGATCATAAGTACAGCTCAAATATTCTTAATAATTGCGCTTAATTTTCACACGATCTCCACATATAATTTGGCATGCAAGAAAATTGAACGGAATCGTGCCAAATTATTACACTCTGAAATGGCCGAGAGCGACTACACTGAAGACAATTTTCAAGATGATGAATTCGACGAAAGTGACAGTAATTGTGATATCAGCATAACAACATCCATGGCAGAAACAAAGCCATCGATTGCATCGGAATTGCATGGAAATAATCAACAAAGATCGATTGTTATCGATTACAGCACTAAACCAAAGAAACGTATTTCAGTTTTGCTACCGATAATTCTGATTTGGTTGCTGGCAATTTCAATATCGATTCCACTATTCAGCTTTGGACGTATTATACCAACGTTAAATCGAAATAGTAACGAGAGAATGTGTGGTTTGGTTGTGATGGATCATAATAGTAATTTCCTTTTACAAGTTTTATTGATTAAAATGCGAATTATAGTGCCAACACTATGTCTACTTTTAAGTACAGCCTATGTGATTTTGAAACTATGCACGGCCAAAAGGCAAATCATCGACCATTTTATCGAAGAAGAACAAAGTGAGATAATAGCACCACTTAAATTAGCACTATCACTTGCACTCACTTATATGCTGTGCTCTGTACAACGTATGTACGGTTCGTTATTATTTGAATTGATCTCTCGTCCCATGATGGAATATAAATATGCAAAATTTAACAAATTCACCGGCATCATTGGATGCATCATTCATTATTCGTTAATCATATTTCGACCATTTTTATATTGGCATTTTGAAACGAAATTTCGCAAAGATCTACAAAGGAGGTGCTGTTGCATTTTTACCCAACGCAGATGAACTGTGACAACAACAAAAGAACTATCTATATTTTTCGAGACCGATTAAATTGAAATGAGAAGAAACCGCTTTTTTGTATCATTTCTAAGCCTATCTTATAAGATTGTACAGATTGAAATTATAAGATAAAGATATAAGGAAAACAACACATTTTCCATACGAAATTAAAAATTATGAATACAAAGAAAATTGTGTGATATTTATTTCTTGAAAATTTGCTGCGTGCATTATTTAAAATTGGATGAAAATAAAAAGAAAGCAACACGAATGAAAACAGTAAACAAGCATGTAAGTTAAGCTCAATATAGTACAGTATGCATCTTCTTTGGTTCATTCACAGTGACTTCAATTCAAGGCAATTTCATCAGTGTCGTTAATAGCATCCGATTCGTTTACGATTATTAATTTACTGGGGTTAAAGTGGTACGAGAAAAAAGACATCAAAAGTCTGTTTCGCAAACAAAGTTCACAAGCAAAAAAGGACATGTTTTTATTATTTACTAAGAACACTTTTATATCTTCATTTTTTATTTCGCTTCAAAAATAGCACATATGTTGCTACAGTGAATAAAACTCGATTTCATTATTAATTTTCTTATATTTCCACAATATTTATCTAATTCCAAAGTTAGCAATGGAATTTAAACAAATTATCAAAAGATTTAATTCACTGCAAAAAATATGGATTGTCTGACATGTGTGATGAGTGCAAAATTAAGTCATTCATACATATATTTAACACATTGTTGTGTGAGTTACGTTTCAGCTCATTAGTCAAAGACCCTCATATGGTTGTTTCAAGTCATTTAAAACGCTCATTATGTTTTATCTTCTGTATCAATTTCAAGAGAGCACAACCATTTCAATTTGTTGCATTTCTAATGCGATACGCACTTAATTGTCACTTGTTTTGATTAAATTACATCAAATGAAGTTCCCTTTCTGGCGAACAGTTTGTAATCAGTCAGTAGCATTTTCAATTATTACCAGACTAGAGAGATTGAAATGATACTACGTCAATGGGAAATTGTTCTTTTTTTAACTCAATGAACCATATGTTTTGTTTGCATTCAATGCGTGCAGGGACCAGAAAATGTGAATGACACCAACCGAATAGACATTGTTTCATTTTAGCACCGTCGAGTCATCTCAGTTGAATTAATGCTTTTTATTGCATGTCACAAAATATCTATTTATAGAATCTACAAAAAGGCGCCTCTGAATGTGGAAGCAAATTCTTTAAGAAAATCGATTTATTGGAATTAATCTTGTTTATAATTTGCACCTGTCCAAAGAATTTGAAAATATTGTGCCAATTCAATGTTGTCTTTTAGAAGAATTTCTTTCGTGTTAGTTATTTGAAAGAGAAAAAACAATATTCATTGTATCACGTGGAAAAATAATAAATTGAATAGAAAATAAATATTTTGTTGTGTCAATATTTACAATTTGAAAAAAAAAACAACACATTCTTTCTCGTGGAGTACATTTGATGATTAAATTGAATAAGAATTTTTATGCTGAAAATAAAGATGGCACCACATGAACTCCGATCGAACTGACAAATGATTAACACGTCGCATGACAATTTACTTTCTCATTGACGCGTAGACAGCGGCTGTACACTATATTCCATCAAGTATCTTTCACTTTGCTACATCGCACACACAGCAGACAGCTCACAAGTTCACATAGTTGGTTCGGTCGTCTTGTGTACCAGTTGTAGTCATTATATATCGATTCAATTTTTCTTTTTAAAAAAAATGGCAAAATCAGTGAAAACTCCATCCGGATTTACAAAAGAAGAAGAGCTTCTTCTCAACGATTTCAGTCGAAATGTTAGCACCAAATCATCGGCACTTTTCTACGGAAATGCATTAATCGTTTCGGCTGTACCAATTTGTAAGTATAACATAGATTAACATGCAACATAGGTTATGTCGACACGTCATCAAACCAAAACAATATAATTTGATGATTTTTTGTTATTCAATAAGATAAAAGTTAAGTGCAAATTAATGAATGTTAATAAATTATGTGATTTGTATTATATTTCAGGGCTTTATTGGCGAATTCATCAAATCGATTTGGTATCAGCTTTGGTGTTCTTCGTTGCAATCACCGCTGTAAGCACATATCTGATGGCAATGGCTTATAGAAATACCAAATTCGCATTGAAACACAAAGTAGCACTGAAACGTGAAGACGGTGTCACCCGTGAAGTTGCCAAGCAATTGTCGGACGACAAAAAGACCAGCCGCAAAGAGAAAGACGAACGTACATTGTGGAAGAAGAACGAAGTTGCCGATTATGAAGCCACCACATTCTCTATCTTCTACAATAATGCATTGTTCTTGGCCATCGTCATCTTTGTCAGCTGCTTCATTTTCAAATCAACTTCACCATTGTTCAATTACATTTTGACTGTTAGTGGCTCAAGCGGGCTTCTTGCTTTGTTGAGCACAAGCAAACCAACGTAAATGTTTTTTTTTTTTTCATTTCATTTGAATAATTTGTTTCGAATATGAAAATGATCACAAACATAAATTAAACGATTGCTAATATCGACGAATCGAACCTATTCATTTTTCAAAACATCTCATTTGTAAATGGGTATCGCTTTCATTGAAACAACACCGATTTTCGTCACTCACTTATTTGTATAGTTATAATTTGAAAATTGATTTTCTATGAAAAAAAATAAATAAATAAATAAAAGAAACAAGGAAAAAATGATGAAAAACAACTGAAAATAAGATGAGTCTTTTTTATTTTTGCGATTTTATGGTCATTATTATCGTCACAAAAAATCACATATGAAAAGAAAACATAATCAATTTCTCATATAAAGTTATTATTTCAAACAAATTGCTCAGCTCAATTCGGCGCTGGTAATACTAGGTTGTGTAGCTCATTTGATCGAAAGCGCCCCCTGTCATGTCGAATACATCGTTTGTTTGTCATTATGTTTTGATTGTTTTCATATAAGAACACACAAAATAAATTCAATCTTTGTACAATACGGAAAATAAGCAATCAAGTAATCGATTCTAAATATTTCGTGAATAAATTTTGTTAATAATATTTTGTTAAAGATTTATTACAAAAAGTGACTAATAATAAAAACAACGAATAAAATGGATTACGAAGAAGCACCCGTGGAACCAAGCTCAATTGTAAGAAATGTTTATTGTTTTGTTGAGACAAAATAGAAGTCGTATTTTCTGTCCACACCAAATTCGATTAAAATTACGTGAAAGAAATGCAACCAAATTAAGCAAACAAACGAATGTAGTCTGTGTTTCGAATGGCTAAAATAGCGTCTTTGGTCAAATAAAGGGCGAATGAAAATACATGCTTATGTATTTCAAAACAATAAGAAGCGTGAATGGAGCGCCATGTTTGTTTTGATTCTGGAAATATCATATGTAATTGGCATTGTAAATTGGGTCGATTCTTCACCATATCAAAGCAGATAAATCGACCGGAAATCAATTTTAATCCATATATTTGAAGTGTAGCATAGTTTTTTAAGTGAGTGCAAGGCACATAGTTACTCATTCAAATGTGCAAACTCTGTTCGATTTTTGTTTCAATGAATGAAAAAAAAACTTCAATGAGATTGCACTTGACCTTATGCATGACTGCTACAATGCCACATCGAGTCGGTTCAATGTCAATCCAATGTGGACTGGGAAAATTTAGTTTGGAAAATTGAAAAGGGAAAGTAGAATGACTTGTAATATTTCGTACAATTGTTATATATAAGCGTATTTTCTACATAAACAGAACTGGTGCCAACACGTTTTTCTACACGTAAGTGTATGGCATAGTTATATGTATGTTCACATGTACACAAAGTCCATGTGTTCAATTTAGCTTGTGATGTGCCACAATCAAAACAAAAACACAAAGTATACATAAAAATAATGCGCAATATCCGTGTTTTTGACGTCGCGTTACGCGTACGGCAACGTACGACAGCGTATAATATGACAACAAAGCTTTGCGTCGTATATAAATAGATAGCGATGAAAAAAATCATATTACAAAAATTGCATAGATAAACGGAGCTATTTGCTGAACATATTTTGTTTCGTTCTCTTTCTACCTCTCTTCAAACGATTTCTTTTTATTAGATTTTCTAATATTTTGTAGAAAATAAGCCAGATAAGGCATAATATTAAATAAAAAGCCGTGATGCGTCATATAAAGTATTACGTTAAATGTCCAGCGAATATCTGAAATAAAAGCGTATTCGATGATCTCTCATAAATATGTTGATTTTCGCTACATCCATATTTATCAAAAAAGAAAAGAGAGAATTTCAAAACATCACGAAAATTTATATGACCTCTTTATGCAGGCTCCATATCAAAATTTAAAATGGCCAATTCCATAAATAAAACAGTCGCATTGCATAAAATAATTTATCAATTCGAATGAGGCATACACTCTCTATATACATATTATGTGAGTGAGTGTCATACGAAGCGCATAGCGTACAGACGCAAAAGCGACCGAAAATCACTGAGAATTCTCAGTTGGCTTACGAGACTTCGACTGTGCACACGACAACTTTCCGATTGTGCTATTCGCTTTATCTCGTTTCACTTGTTGTTTATTCTCTCAAAACCAAAAATTGTTCTTTTTTTTTGTATACGGTTAATGTTTCATTTAAAAATAGCATAGTCCTCAATTTATCCGAAAAGAATCAATTTAAAACTCATTAACCTGACAATTATCAAGTAAGTTTTGTGAATCGTTGAATTTTTCAAATATTTTGAAGAAGAAATTTTTTTTTAACGAAACTGGGTCAATTCCATTTGGGGAATTGTAGTGCATCATCAAACGTGCAGCGCCAAAAAAAATCAATTTTATGAGCATTCTTTTCTACGCTGTGAAAACGATGAGGGCCAATGTTCTAACGATGACACAATTTCGTCATTTAAATTCCAAATTGAGTAAAAAATATAAAATCGAAAACAAAGTGTGTAAATGTTTTCATTGTCCGGCATCGAAAACTGTTGCGTAGAAGTGTCGCGCGCACTCAGTGTTTTCAAATTGCGTCGCAATCAAAAAATTATGTGTGTTTCATATGGATTCAGAGTTTTTTCCCTACTCCCCGGTGCGATATCAACCGCGTAGTATATATACAAAACAAAAAAAGTGAACGCAACAGTGAACGAGCTTTAAATATAAATGGCCAATGTATAGCAACTTGATTAACAAAGGTCACTGCAATCCATATGATGCACCGATCGTTCGACTGTATTTACGCTTTACGTTTCACACATGCAATTCAACTGTGAAACTAACATAAGACGTGTATACTAATTTCTATGTGCTTGTGCATCGGATACGATATCGGTATTGAAATAAATTTGCCTGTGTATTTTAATGTTGCAGCGCATTGATGTGAGTCCATTTGCTGTTGTATGAGAGTGTTCAAATAATTTAGTACCTCTGGTTCTATACGCATTTTCCGAACTTCCGTTTCATAGTGCGCGTTTTCAATTCTCGTAACAGTTCATTAAAACGGTAATGAAAAAAAAAACGGAGATAAAAATATTTTAAGTTTTGCCAATTAAAAAAAGTGTGTCTCTCGTTATATGCATTTTTTGTGCTTCGTGGCACCATTCAAATTTTCAATATAGGACAATATGAAATATTAAACATTGAAAGAAAGTTGAGCACCCGTGTCCGAATTTACATTTTTACGTCGTAATTTAAAAATAGCAAATCAAGCAGAATAGAGAGAAATTAGAACACAATCACTCCATCGAGTAATTGAAACAAAAAACAAATTCATTCGGTTTTATAGCTACATTTTATATACGTTCTACGAAAATAACGTAATATCCAAAAAAAATTCCACTCTTTTAGTGACCTAAAATTTGTGTGACTCACTTTCGAATGCATTTTTAATCGATATTGCAACACAACGGTCAGCTTATCGTTTATATCGAGTAATTTATATGAATATAGCATCTTAATACACATAAATTGCAAAAAAAAATAATCGCCGGGTAAAATAGATGTGTGCTACGTGACTTGAACGAAAAAAAATGCTTTGCACAGATAGCAACAACAAGCAATCGATTCACCACTCAGTTATTACGACGCGCGTGTAATGTCGATTTTGAGTTTTTTTTTTTGGTAATCTAGAATCAGATGATAGGCGTTTATATGTTGAGCTAATGAAATTTAAATTGAATTCGTGTTATCGCATAATTTGCAGCACAATTTAATTTACCTTCGAAAAAAATCGACTTCTTCTTCTTTTCAATTTTTGGTCGCAAAATGCGTAATAAAGTAATTTAATATCTATAAATAAAAGTAATTAATGAACTCGATCTGTTGAAACATTATTTATAATAATCGTTACGAAAGTGATGGTGCAACGATTTTTTATGTAAAATTATTTCATACGACTTGTATCCGTATTGCATAAATGACGCAGTTCTTATTTAGAACAATTGATATATGGATTGCTTCATGTGAAAAAAAAAATCCATGAAAATTATTATCGCTCGTTATTGAATTCAAAATATCGCCTTTCATTTCGAAAAATTTCACGTTAAAATTGTGCTTGTTTGCAAAAATTGTAAATTATACACATAATAACTTAAGAAAAAGGTAGAAGTAGAACTACAAAGCTAGCTGCTCTTGACCTTATTTTGACAAGAAGCATACAGACAAAAAATACACGACCTAGTTTTTTCTGCTTTTGAAATCCGACATGTTTTGAATTTCAAGAGACTTCAAGAATTTATTTTAAGTTTTTGTCGAATTATTTTTTTAAATTTAACAGGAACGCAAGGAGAGTGGTAAACGTGGAAGAAAACCAGGCCGTAAAGCATCAAGTGAAAAAATTGACATGAAAGCCAAACTCGGTATGTTTTTTTCTTCTTATTTTCACTGTGATGTCGTTGAATTCAGTTGTATTAATTGTATTTTTCTATGTAGAACGTAGTCGTCAAAGCGCCCGGGAATGCCGAGCTCGTAAGAAGTTGCGCTACCAATATTTGGAAGAACTTGTCACTGATAGAGAAAAGGCCGTACTTAGTCTTCGTGTGGAACTTGAAAAGGTAATGAAAATAAAATCGATTTCTCAACAATCATTTCTCTAATATGTTGCTCTTTTTTTCTGATCTCAGTATCGACAATTTGCTCATGAGCTTGACGCAGGACGTTTTCCAGAAGGAATGAAAGAAGTCTTAGATGAAGTTGGCGTAATGAAGCAAGAATAACATCGTTAATACCAAACCAATATTTTTCTCAATAATTTGTTAATTTGTTATTTGCTTCATCTTCAATCCACTCAAAGTGGACCCTTTTTTATTTTGTTCTTTACGAATTTTTGAATTTGTTTGAGTTTTGTTTAATTTTTTTTTTGTGAGAAATTTTTTTGAATTTTGTTTAAGGTTTGTGAATCTTTTTGAATTATAGTAAGACACGAGAGTGCACTCATTTTTGGTTAGTATTATTATTTGAAGACTATTGTTTGAGCGAAAAACGAAGGAATTTTGAAAAACATATACAAACACAATGAACAGCTAAAAATCTAAAAACAAGTAAAGAATCTTTATGTACAAGAGAACAGCGAATATAATTACACATATTTATTGGAGGCTCTCTCTTAAATCAAAACAATAAGTTTATCTATTGCTACAGATTTTCAAAGAAAAACACAGATACCATTTATACAGTTCCAATAATTATAGATTTTATTTTTTCTATTCAGGAAATTTGTAAATTTTGCGAATGAAATTCCCAAAAATACAATATTTTGTAGCATTTACAAATACGTTTTTAATTATTTCATTGAGTTTTTTTCAGCAATTTTAATTTTCTTGCAGCACATCGTAAAAGTACGCAAGTATAAAGTACATAAGTTATGGCGAATTAAGGTATTGTAATTTTAAATGCTAAATCGATTAATTGTAGTAGAATGATTAAGTCCTTCCAATTTTACGTAGAAGCTCTCTTCTGAATCTATCGTAATCGTTGTGGCATTCAATACTATGAACACATTCGCGCTTTAAATCATTAAGAACGTGTCGAATTCTATGATATCGATGATCACCACTATTATTTTCTAACGTATCGGTAATTCTTTGTTCCCATGTATACGTTGGACAAAGGCTTAATAGATGATCGATCAAATCTTGATCTTCATACAGTTGAGAATTTCGTAGAAATTTATCGCACATCTCGTAACATTCTAAATGGATCATGGCTTCAGATTTATCATGACGATGACCGATGCGTAGAAAATTTTGGAATAACGTTTTGCCCGTCGAATGTTGAATTAATGTGGACACATTCATCATTGCAAAATGTTCAATTTGTTCATATGTTAATGCCGTACAACCGCAAAAACAACGCATCACGCGGAAATCGGTATGAACGCTTGATGATTCAATGTCATTACGATGATCCCCTCCTCGCGACTCTCGTGGTCTTTGATTTGCGCTGCCATATGCCGAATTGTTGTTGTTACTTCGGTTGTTTTGTTCGCGTTGAGACATCTTTTGAATATAAATAGACTTTACATTTACACTCAAACTAAATTCGATGTATACTTTTGATTTTAATTTCTTGAGCCAAATGAAATGTTTTGCTGCATATATGAATTTGTATCACAATACATTGGTTTATTTCACAACATTTCTACACAACATTTTTCAGACAATGTTTTTTACTAATTATCTCTATGAATTATGATAAATTTTTGTAAGAATTGACACAACTTTTCTTTGCTTTTTTAATAACGAGAGTGTACACGATCCCGATCAAATTTTGGCAAATGTGCGCTACAGACTGAGGTTTATCCTATTATTTTCAAGTGCGCATGCTTTGTTCCCGAAGAAAAAAGTCGTCGACGTCTTGATCGTATCTGGTTTGACATGCTCAATGAACCAGATGAGTCAAGTGGGGATGATGATATTCAAATATAAACACTCAACACATGTGATAACCAAAGAATTAAAGGTCGTTGAGCAAAATAAAGGTAAACAAAGTAATGTGCGTGTCACATATAAGTTCAACTAAGATCAAACACAATTTGAACCGGCCATTTAAATTTTTTGAAAGCTAAAATGTCAAAGAACCACGTACGACTATTTACACTGTCACTTGCATACAACAACAATAACACTGTTTCAATAGGTGTGAATGTAGTATATACTTTTTTATTAGTATTTCGCCGACTGATATCTTTGAAGCAGTTCGTACAATCACAATCTGAATTCTTTGATATGAGCGATAATAACATTGTAATATTATTAGGGTTATCAGATTTAAGATCAAATCATTTGACAAATCAACAAATCATTTTCATTTGAATTGGTCAAATTTGGTAAGCCTCAAACCAATTTATTTATTTTGATTTGAAAGAACTTGAAAAATTAAACACATTGTGTTATTATTTTTTATATCACCTATCATTTAACTGGTAGAATCTTCACGATTTTGAATATAAAAAGAGAAATATTTATGTTGATGATTGATTTTATGTCAAAATATATCAAGATCTTTTTAAGATATAATGTATATACATTTGGAGATTTTTTGCAAATTAATTAACTTTAGATACAATGTCCGTACAAAAATGACCAAAATTTGGACTTATTATGAGAGCCATGCTTATATGTAATACGAATGATGAAAATTGTGAAATTGAATATTTTGATAGTATACAACAGCTTCCTGTTATCGTATGAAAACAATATTTTGTTTTAATTCAATAATACAAACATTTATTCAATAAAGAAATAGTTTATCTTGATTTAAAAAGAATCAGAATTCAGAATTTCGTTCAGTACAGAACGATTCATCTACTGAGATTCACGTTAATCTCTATAATTTGGATGAGCTACTCTTTCTTTGTCAAAAATATCGAAATATTGGAAGTATGCTATTGTAATAAACTCTATTCTTACTTTTCTTTCATTCAAGTACACCAAATAGCTAATTTTATTTACATTTCTAGTTTTGGTGATTTGTTCATTAGTTGCATCAAAACCGCAGAGGAACTTGCCTGAACCAGTGCAAGGAATTTCACGTTTTACATTCGACTTTTATTGAGGAGAAAGAAAATAAGATCGTTTGGACATTATTAAAATTGACAATATAGATAAAGAAACTAAAATGGTTGTATTAAATGATATTCATATGAATGGTAAATGGTTCTTTCCGTTTCACGTAAACTGCACGCACCAAGGAAACTTTTATGTCAGTGAAAATGAAACCGTACCAGTTGAATTTATGTGTTTCAAAATTCTTAATGTATTTGGTCCGTCTCACAATTATGAATTCTTATACGATTTGGAAGCTTTCGCAGTTGAGATATTTTTCGGATCCGCACATGCGTTCTAATTTGTGATTATTTTACCCAAAAATCTCAAAGGCCTGCTGTTGCCAACAGGATGTTGAAGCAAAATTGAAAGATCACGAACTTAGCCAAATTTTTAGTCAATTAGGAGTCGACAATGGATAAGAATGAAAGTGATAACCACAATATTTGCTGTTGTTATGACCTTCTGATTTTTGAGTTTTTTGCTAAATATATCAGTTTGATTATTCAGAAAATGAAACGACAATGTGTCACTAAGTCGTCTAGGCATCAACTTGAAACTGCGATAAATGAATATAAGAAATCAGTCTTTTGCAAACGGATGTGCGAATATATACAATATATTCATTGCTGAAGAAATTTAAACAATTTTCATAATTTCAAAGGAACCAATTATAACTTTTCCCCTCAAAAAGTGTTTTTCTTTACATGTTTATTTAACAATAAGCAGTAAAATAATTAATTGAAACATACATCTTTTCTAACAATGAAAGTGGAATGTGTGATTATTTTAATATGTCAGTGTCTGAAAGTGCATGCAAGTTTGTCTCCTCCAGAAAAAAGTAATTTTGAACTTTCAAAAAAATAGCTATAATTTAAATAATAAAACATGGGCATGAATTTAAAGTCGCTAAACGTTTTTCAAGCAAACGCCAAATATTTTTGATCAGTCTATTGTTAAATGATCCATAATGAAACTGCGCAAAAAAACGATTTTTTATGTAATTTCATCATGGAACTACTGAAATCCAGACCAAATCTTGAGAAACCGTGGATCAATTCCAAAATTACACCAAATATTTTTGATTTTCTTACTCCTTTCTGGAGTTAATACTTTGCTTATAACATTTTTCCATTGGAAAAGCGTAAAAAGTCTCTTTAGTTGGTTCACATATTCTATACATATAATAAATGGAGGTTCATGTATAGGAAATACAAATTATACGGAATATGTCTATGACATTCATTCATATGTACGTTGAACGCATGCGGCTATGACTACACATTAGGGTGCGTCGATTTTTTATTTTTGAAAATGAAAAAAACGGCTAGTGCGGCTTTTGTAGACCTGGTCGAGAGTAACATTTTTTGTTCTGGCACTTTGGCCTACACCCCCCTAATTTTCACCCCGCTCGATTTAAAGTTCGTAATTTTTCAAATGAATTTTTTTCAATAAATTTGTATGAAAGTGAATTGGTTTTAGTATTGTTGTAGATAGTATTAGAGGAGCTCTATAAGATAGGCCCATCACAAAAATGCACTTTTCATTTTTTAGGAAAAAAAGTTGCAACGAAATTTTTTTTCGCCCATCGATTTTCAAAAAAGTCATCTAAAACATATGCTTCCATCAATATTTTTGCTCAAAATTCATGTATTTTTGAATTCCGCATGCCCAATTTACTAAAGCACCATGAATCGCCACAAAACTTTTTCCTGCAAACTTTTTTTCAGAACTCATTCGTCAATCAGAGCATTGGGTTTCATACAAAATCTAAAAATTTTCGCTTAAATGTTCACACATCGACTTGAAATTTTACACGGAACTGGGATTTGATGAAAAATGACTAAAGCCAAAAAATAATTACATTCAGTTGTTGTCTTGTTGACTAGAATTATGTTTAGTATATGTCAACAAAATGAATTTTTTTTTTTCATTCGGAACCATTACACTAAACATATCCTATTTATATTCTGGTATTAACTAGTAATTGTGATGTACTCTATGCCACGTATTCATAATTTTCATTTTTGTCCCTTTTTGCACTTTGCTGCATCTTCAAAATGTAATCCTAGCAAAATAGCGCCCTGGAAATTATATTTTTGTCAAATTTTCTAATTTTTTTGTGTATTTTGCTATTAATTTGTTTTAAAATACAATATAACGTCTCCACGATGGATTTTATACAGATATTTTTGGTCGTGTTTCCGCTGAGATTATAATCATTCCTAAAAAAGTGGAAATTTGGTAAAAATTTAGTAATTTTGGGTAGTTTGAGAATACTTTGACCCAAAATCAATATAAATCCTCAAGATTCACATGATTAAAAAGATTTCAATTTTTATTTAGTCAAAATCATGGACA